TTCTAACTTTTTCTACAACGTTGCTGTTACAGGCTAAAGTATGCCGACGCTTTCTTTAGCAAAGATGACTCATATTAGCAAAAAGCTCATATTAGCAAAAAGGGCTCACATTAGCGACGATTTTTGGCTTTTTCCAACCTTGGCCTCCTCAAAACCTTACTACAAAATCTAATACTTCATTGTCAACCTTATTCATCGTTTCTACTCTTCACAATTACTAACGATGTTAATTTAAAGTGAATGTCTGAGATATTTCATTAAACCCAAGTGGGAAAAAGTCGTTTAACTCCAATTAAAATATTATAAACAGAGTGACCCAATCCCATAACATGTAAAGTTTCACTATTTTCTGTTGGCACCTTCTAATATTATTAGTCAAAACTTTACTAAATCTTTATAACAGCAATATAAACTCTACAATTCTCTTGTTTTCACGTTAGTGGTGGGGTGTTCATTCTTTCAAAGTCTTACCGCTAATTGTGGTAGACTAACACGGACCAGTTTCAGCTCCATAATTTACAGCTATAATATTATTTTAACTTTTGAACACTGACCTCCTTCGGATCAATCAAAACCACCTGGGAATTGAGAAATTTCAATCCAAACTTTCACCTCTCCCTCATCCAATTTCAAAGGATTGAACAAGACAAAATTTAACCTCTTCCATTACTCATTATTCTGCAGCAAGTTACGATATACAAAGAACTCAGTGTTTCCTGGAAAAACCAGAAGATTGGAATGAAAATTTCAAGCTATTATAGATATGAATAGATTATGTAAGTAACATTGAAAAGACCCTCTTTATACATCTAATATACTAATAAAACAATGAAAATCTCCAAAAATCAAGATTCATTTTTTATTTTTTAACTTTCCTAATCGAGGCATTGGACCAGCACAAGCTTTCAACACAGGACTCCAAATCCACTGAACAAAAAACTTCCTCCCTTTCCTTCCTCATATTGAAAGTCTTCCCTCCTCCATCTTTCATCACTTGACCGATATACCCTCCACCGCCACCTGTCCCGTACAGCCCTTCACACAAGTCGCCAATCTCCTCGGAGCCGTCGGATCCTCCCCGGCGTACCACGCATTCACCAATGGATTCGTGGACAGCTCAGCGAGCTCGTGAGCTATCACACTTATCATCCCTCCACACCCACGTCGCCGTTCGGCGGCTTCAACGCCTGCGGCCCACCTCCGCCCATGTACCCGGCACCGCAAAAGGGTAAGCGCAAACTTCGGGGCATTGCTTCCGGAATTGCCGATCCAGGCGTACGGCAAAGTGTAACCCACCATCGACGGAAAAGTGAAGTAATGGAACCCACAAACGGCTCTGCAAAAATCTTGCATTGTAACGTCCGCGCCGTGAGTATCAGGTAATTCCGTTCTTGTGGTCGACGGGGAAAGGCGCTGACTTTACCGCCGAGGCTATCACCTGCTGTACGGACAGTCTCGTGAGCTGGTTACCATGCGAGTAAGCGTGTTCTGCATACTCGCGGCAATGAGGATGGTTCTGGAGACGTTAGCGCCGGTTTGGTCGGTGTAAAGAGAGACAGTTTGCCACCACTGGGAGACTGAGGGAGTGGGGGAGGGTTTGGCGGCGGTTTTGGTTGATGGGTGTGGAGGAGATGGATATACTAAAAAAAAAAAAAAAAAAAAAAAAACGATTGAATGCAGCCAACTACCCTATTTGTAGCAATATGAAGAATGTGTCTTTGATATTATTCCTTGACTTCCCATCACTATCTGATTAAAACTGTGGGTATTTTCAAAATTTAAGCCATGGATAAATTACTAATACTTGACTAGATTTTTGCTGAATAAATCTGATGACCCCAAAAAGATGGTGACAAAAAAAAAAAAAATTTGAATTTTCCATTTATATACCAAGGATTTTCATGTTTAATCCTACATAAATCATGTATTTTGAAATAATTCATTAGTTTCCCATTGGTCAAGTAGCCATCAGCCTTTAGAATGTGGACACACACTTTCCTTCTGTTCTGCTCCTCATGGAGAAAAAGCACAGTTTCAATATAAAGATAACAATATATATTTACCATGTTTATTTGTTGTTCAAGGCAAAAACTGATTTGGCTTTCTTTTTTCCCTCACTTCTTTAGTTTCTCTGAAGAGGGAAAGAAAAAAGTACAACCCACTACTTTAAAATGCTCATTAGTCATTACTATGTGCACATGTTGTTCTCTTTCTTATTATTATTATTTTTTATTTTGATGACGGGAGACGTGTGTCTCAATTAATCATTCGAGATCCTAAAATTGCTAGTCGAGTAAGAACTTTAATGACCACCCCTATTAGCAACTTGCCTCATTTACTCCATATATAATGTTAATGGCTATAATGCAATAGAAGCCAACTCCAGGACACTTGGCCACAAAAGAAATGAGGGGTTTCATAATCGCTATATGTTTCATTCAAAAGAATACAGCAGTGTCGATTAAAAATGACAGAAATTGGTTCATAATCAGAAGTGTCAAGGTGTTGATGTTATCTCATCTCAAATCAAATTTGGTAATTGAAATTAAACTTTAGTGTCAAATTAATCTAACGCAAAGTAACAAAACAATTGTCCTTTTGTGAGAGTGTTGTTACTTCAAGTGCATGTGGATTTCCAACTCACAGATTGAGACACTTCCTGGTGGGTCCAGTTTGGATGGATCAAAACTAATAGTACTAGAATTGATATTTTCCCCTTTGTCTTTCCATTATTAGATGATATTAACTTTTCTCCTTTCCATGTAACTAAAAAGAGCTAAAATGAAGCATGATTCATGGAGAAATAAGCAACTGTTTTCTTCCCTCAACTGCAATTATTCAATGAATTGGAGTTACTAAAAGGAATGGTCATGCCCCATAAACAGCAGAAAAAATAAAAAGTTTCCAACAGGGTATGAGTTAATGACTTTTTTCCACTCAAATAATAGTTTAATGACACTTTTCTGTTCACAAACTTTTAAAATACAACTTTATTATCCAAATTTATATTATGGAGGCAAACAGAGAGCAAACTCGGTCTAGGTTATTAGGGTTTTTAAAGAAGGGAGGCCGGTGAGACTTTTGGTGGATGGGATTGATCGGATTTGACTTGGGAGGGTGGCGGCGCAAACGCTAATCACTTAATTGTCGACAATTGGTGAGATCGGTAGGAGTAGGGTTTGAGGTTTTTTTATGAGTGATGATAGAGGAAGAGAATGATAATGGTGTAAAGTCACAAAGATATCGGAATAAAAAATAGAATATAAATTTAAATAGTAAAATAGTATTTTAAAAGTCTATGAGTAAAAAAGTATCGTTAAACCATTATTTGGTTGGGAAAAAATCGTTTACTCTTTGCGCAGAGTTAAAAACATGCTAAAACTGAAATAACATCATATTAGACATAGAAAAAAGTTGCAATGACGGAGAGCATTATTTGTCATCTTTTTATCCCATCAACAAAAAGAAAAAATGAAACAACTACTGCCCATTTCATTTGTGTGGTTTAATTAATGAGAATCAAAATTTAATAATCACCATTCACCAAGTTGTTTATGTATCCAGCTGATAATTTGTAGGTGAGGTTTGGTGGTTTGGGACCTTCATTTCATGACTTTGTTTATAACATTTGCAAGTTGCAGCCATTTGGTAATTACAACTCTCCAATCAAGGCACAAAAATCCCTTTTCAAATTTCAACCACTGGGCCAAGCCAGGCCACCACTCAACTATATTATGGCATGGCCTGAAAGATCTTGAGAGCTAGGGCTCACACGTCATAATAATAATTAATTTTATATGGTTCATTCTGGGTCCCAATCTTAGCTGTGGCTCACAAATGTTCACTTAAAGTTTCTAGAGTGACCGACCGCTCAAGTATCTCTACCGTCCATTAAAGGACAAGAATATATATATGCTTGTTCCATCCTATTTTTCCATTACCGCTAAAAGTATGGCAGAATGACAAACTTCATTACCACCATGCTTATCATATGTAAGAAGAGTTGATCAGATTGAATTGCCATTATTACTGTTAACATTTTTGCCTTATTAAAACTTAAACATAAACAATTAAGACTTTTCTTCTCATAAATTAAAATAGAGAAAACGGCTTATTCTTATACGGGGTTTTGCAAAATCTCAAGTTGATATTTTTAATTGTATTTATTCTTTACTCTTAAAGTAACGTCGTTTTCTTTATTTTTAATAGATTCTTAACTTTTTACTACAAACGTTGCATGTTAGCAGGCTAAAGTATGCCGACGCTTTCTTTAGCAGAAGATGACTCATATTAGCAAAAAAGGGCTCATATTAGCAAAAAAGGGCTCACATTAGCGACGATTTTTGGCTTTTTCCAACCATTGGACTCCTCAAAACCTTACTACAAAATCTATAACTTCATTTGTCAATCTTATTCATCGTTTCTAACTACTTGCAACAATTACTAACGATGTTAATTTGTTAATTTAAAAGTGAAAATCTAGAGATATTTTATTAAACCTCAAGTGAGAAAAAGTCGTTTAACTCCAATTAAAATATTATAAACAGAGTGACCCAATCTCCATAACATGGTAAAGTTTCACTATGTTCTGTTGGGCACTTCTAATATTATTAGTCAAAACTCTTACTAAATCTTTATAAAGCAATATGAACTCTACAATTCTCTTGTTTTCACGTTAGTGGTGGGGTGTTCATTCTTTCAAAGTCTTACCGCTAATTGTGGTAGCTAGATGACTTTCATTAAATTCCCACGGACCAGTTTCAGCTCCATAATTTACAGCTATTAATATTATTTTAACTTTTGAACACTGACCTCCTTCGGATCAAATCAAAACCACCTGGGAATTGGAGAAATTTCAAAATCCAAACTTTCACCTCTCCCCATCCAATTTCAAAGGATTGAACAAGACAAAATTTAACCTCTTCCATTACTCATTATTGCTGCAGCAATAAGTTATGATATAGCAGAAGAACTCAGTGTTTCCTGGAAAAACCAGAAGATTGGAAATGAAAATTTCAAGTCTATTATAGATATGAATAGATTATGTAAGTAAACATTGTAAAAAGACCCTCTTTATACATCTAAATATACTAATAAAACAATGAAAAATGAAAAATCTCCAAAAATCAAGATTCATTTTTTATTTTTTAACTTTCCTAATCGAGAGCATTAGGACCAGCACAAGCTTTCAACACAGGACTCCAAATCCACTGAACCAAAAACTTCCTCCCTTTCCTTCCATTCATATTGAAAGTCTTCCCTCCTCCATCTTTCATCACTTGACCGATATACCCTCCACCGCCACCTGTCCCGTACAGCCCTTCACACAAGTCGCCAATCTCCATCGGAGCCGTCGGATCCTCCCCGGCGTACCACGCATTCACCAATGGATTCGTGGACAGCTCAGCGAGCTCGTGAGCTATCACACTTATCATCCCGTCCACACCCACGTCGCCGTTCGGCGGCTTCAACGCCTGCGGCCCACCTCCGCCCATGTACCCCGGCACCGCAAAAGGGTAAGCGCAAACTTCGGGGCATTGCTTCGCGGAATTGCCGATCCAGGCGTACGGCAAAGTGTAACCCACCATCGACGGAAAAGTGAAGTAATGGAACCCACAAACGGCTCTGCAAAAATCTTGCATTGTAACGTCCGGCGCCGTGAGTATCAGGTAGATTCCGTTCTTGTGGTCGACGGGGAAAGGCGCTGACTTTACCGCCGAGGCTATCACCTGCTGTACGGACAGTCTCGTGAGCTGGTTACCATGCGAGTAAGCGTGGTCTGCATACTCGCCGGCAATGAGGATGGTTCTGGAGACGTTAGCGCCGGTTTGGTCGGTGTAAAGAGAGACAGTTTGCCACCACTGGGAGACTGAGGGAGTGGGGGAGGGTTTGGCGGCGGTTTTGGTTGATGGGGTGGTGGAGGAGATGGAGAGAATAAAGTCTTTGATGAGGAGCTTTTGGGAATTTGCCCACTTGCCATACCAGATGAGGTAGATGTTTATGGGAGAAGAAGAGAGAACGGGGCCCATGTGGTAACGGAGGTTGACCAAATCCGATGAGCCTTCGAATTTTTTAGAGGAAGAAAGTGTTCTTGGAGGAAGCTTTGGGTTGATATATTCAGGATGTTTTGTGGTCAGTGTTTGCATTTGTTGTTGTTCTGCTGAAACTGAAAGTAAAGCAAAACAAGTGAATACTACAGAGAGGAGGAAGAAGAAGGAGTGTGGTGTCGACATTGCGGTGAGGTAGAGGTAAAGTGGAGGAGGTGGTGGTGAGGTTTGATTTGAAGAGTGAGATGGGTTTATAAAGAGGGGAAATGGGCTGGAGACAGCTGCCATATGTGGGCACAGTGTGTGTTTGGTTATGGAAAACTGGGAATCGCCTTTAGTGTCATGGGTTTTCAATTTGACAGGAATAACCTTCATTATTTTTTTATTTTTTTATTTTTTTTTTAAACGAGGATCTTAACTAATCTTTTCAAGTTATTAAATACTTTATAATCATAAAGAATCAGGTAAACCTTTGTCTATTTTTTTTTTTTTAATCGGATTGTTTTGATTAATTTGTGTATGTCTTAACTAATCTTCGAAGTTTATTGAATATCTTATAAATTTAAAGAATTAGATAAATTATAATATTATTGTAGTAAATAGTTTCAAAATTTGTATCAAAACACTCAAATAAATAACCAAACCTCTTTTATCGTTAGGCCTATGTGGGATTAGTTTTTGTTTTTTTACTATTACGGTATTGGTGAGGTAATTAGGTTAGTTACCTGTTCCAATGTCTTTTTAATTTTTTAGTAAAATAATATAAATCTTTACTTTGATAAAGAGTTTTGAGGCTTTTGAGATCAAATCTAAGTCTCTTTCATGGTGGTGAGTCAGACAAAACTCAAGTTATTTTGAAATGGAAGAGTCACATGGGGCATTCTATTTTACTTAAAGAGCGAAACCCCCAAGGGTAAATGAGGATTGGGTTGGGTTGAAGTTGAGCATATGAGTGTGAATTAGAGTCAAAAGTGGGAGGCTTTTATTTGTGTATTCAGGCTAAGGCTTGACCTGCCTAACAAAAGTAGGTGAAGGATTTATACTTGAATGAGTGGTTGGTTAAATATCTAGGAGAGATATTTTTGTTGGAGTTGAGCTGGCTGGAATGATTGATTGGTAATCATTCATCCAATTGGAGTTACTGCATTTTAATTTTAACTCGATTGAGGTTATACCATATGAAGATTAAAAAGGTAATATGGTTTAGATTACTTGATCATTACGATTTGGTTATCAAATAACATAAGATTTTGATAATTTTTTAATATCAATAATAATTATTATTGATAATATTTAGGGGGTATTTTAGATCATATAATATTTTATTATAAAGGTATATTATATTAACGGAAAGAAATATCATCTTGAAAGTTACTGGGAATGTTTAGAAAATGTGTTTAGTTGGTTCGAATAAATTGGTGAATAATATGTTTGGTTGAGAGGATAAATGGATGTGTATGTTATATAGATTACTAAATTGTCCTCCTTTTTAAATATTAATATAATAGTATTTTTTATTATTATTTTTTGAATCATTTCTTTTAACCCTTTATATTTGAAATTTTACTAAAAAACTTTAGCCATATAAAACTTTAATTTGTAGCAAAATCACCCCCACCCACCGAAGCCACTGTTGGTAGCCGACCACCACCGCCAACCGCTGCCGACAGTCGACAGAATGGAGCATGACTGGCCGTATATGGCCCACCGTGCGGCTACAAAGCCGCAAATGGCCATGGATCGATCACAAATCCATGGCCTTTTCACGGCCAAATCTATGGCCATTTCACGGCCAAATCTGTGGTCGTTTCACAGTCACATCTTTGGCCATGAAACAAGTATAGAAACGCTAGATCTGGCTATTTCTGGCCATGGATTTGTGATCTATGGTCGAAAAAAGCCTTACAGGTGCACAATCAGCTAGATCCCGTCGGTCGTGCAACATTACGGCGACTGACTTCGGTGGCCGACGATGGTGAGTCACGACCAGCAGTGGTCTTGGGTGGCTGGGGGTATTTTGTTAACTTTTAAACTTTTTTATGGCTGGGGTGTTTTAGCTAATTTCTCAAATATAGGGGGTTGGATAATTGTTATTTCGTATACATTTGAGGGCAATTGTGTCCAAAATGGTTTTTAATTAAAGGCAAAATGGGAAGAAAAATCATATTACCCCGGTACTGTTTTAATAAGTCTCTAACAAGGTAATAAGATTAACCCCCACATTACCAACAGTAACCACAATTTGCAATAAAAGATTATCGTAATATTTTATTACTTGCAAACCAAACACATGAATCTTGCAAAATAAACGAATATTACCCCCATTATCTTATTTACCCCCGATCCAAACGGCCTCTTAAAGTAATCTGATTACCTTCATTTTCTTAAGTATTGTAAGATTACTTGGTTATCTTATTTTTATTACAATTTTATCCTTTGTTAATAAATTTTTTGGACAATAATGCCCTTGTTTTAAAATCNCCGCCGACCGTTGCCGACAGTCGACAGAATGGAGCATGACTGGCCGTATATGGCCCACCGTGCGGCGACAAAGCCGCAAATGGCCATGGATCACAAATCCATGGCCATTTCACAGCCAAATCTGTGGTCGTTTCACAGTCACATCTTTGGCCATGAAACAACTATAGAAACGCTAGATCTAGCTATTTCTGGCCATGGATTTGTGATCTATGGTCGAAAAGCCTTACAGGTGCACAATCGGCTAGATCCCGTCGGTCGTGCAGCATTACGGCGACTGACTTTGGTGGCCGACGATGGTGAGTCACGACCAGCAGTGGTCTTAGGTGGCTGGGGGTATTTTGTTAACTTTTAAACTTTTTTATGGCTGGAGTGTTTTAGCTAATTTCTCAAATATAGAGGGTTAGATAATTGTTATTTCGTATACATTTGAGGGCAATTGTGTCCAAAATGGTTTTTAATTAATGGGAAGAAAAATCATATTACCCCGGTACTGTTTTAATAAGTCTCTAGCAAGGTAATAAGATTAACCCCCACATTACCAACAGTAACCACAATTTGCAATAAAAGATTATCGTAATATTTTATTACTTGCAAACCAAACACATGAATCTTGCAAAATAAACGAATATTACCCCCATTATCTTATTTACCCCCGATCCAAACGGCCCCTTAAGGTAATCTGATTACCTTCATTTTCTTAAGTATTGTAAGAGTATTTGGTTATCTTATTTTTGTTACAATTTTATCCTTTGTTATTAAATTTTTTGGACAATAATGCCCTTGTTTTAAAATCAATTTACATTAATCCACCATTACATTAATCAATTTACAATTTTACCCTTGTTTAATTAAGTTTTTGCACAATAATGCCCTTATATGTAAAATAAATTGCAAACTACTATCACCACCCAACCACCATCGCCAGCAACTGGCGGAAGTCACCAAGAGTCACCAGGAGCTCTGATATGGTCATTTCCGGCCATATTAATGGCCGAAAATAGCCAAATGGTCGTAGATCTGGCCGAAAATGGCCAAAACTATTCAAGCCATTTCCAACCAGATTAATGGATGTGGTCGTTACTGACCATGGATCTGGCCGGAAATGGCCAAAACTATTCTGGCTATTTCCAGCCAGATTAATGGATGTGGTCGTTACTGACCATGGATCTGGCCATTAACGGCCACATCCATCGATCCGGCTAGATCTACGACCATCTAAACGTTTTTGGCTATCAATATGGTCGAAAACAATGATATCGGCAACTCACAGCGACTCCCGACAATTTCCAACGACTTTCGACGACTTCCAGAGGTGGCCAGCGGTCTAGTGGTCGACAGTGGCTTGGGGTGGGTGGGGGTGATTTTGTTATAAATTAAAATTTTATATCAGCTGTGGTGTTTTAGCTAAATCTGAAATGTTGGGGGTTAAAAAAATTATTAAAAAATTAATAATAAAAATAATATTCCTAAAGATTCTCAATAATCTTAAAGGTAATCTAATTTTCTATTAATATAACACTCCCAGTAATATAATATTTCCTGAATCAAATGCATCTTATCGAATAAACAACTTTTTTTCACCCAAATAATAGTTAATAACACTCTTCCACCCATAGACTTTTAAAATACTATTTTATTATCTAAATTTATATTCTATTTCTGATTTCGATATTGTTGTAACTCAAAACCACCATCGTTCTCATCCCTGTCATCACTCATCAAAACTCCCCAAACTCCTACTCCTATTGACCCTGTCAATCGAGCGTTAATGTTTACATAGCCGTCATTTCAAAGTCAAATTTTAATCAATTTCAATAATTAAAATCTAATATTTTATCACCAAAAGATTCATCAATCTCCTCTATTCAAAAACTCTAATGGTTGGACATTAAAATATAAATTTATATAGTAAAATGATATTTTAAAATTGGCAGAAACATTATTTGGGTGGGAATAAGTGGTTAACTAATCAACTAGGCATGTGCAATTGTAATGCTGACTTTTTATAATTACTGACAAACTAATGCATCTGACCAAAATCTAGTATCAGATAAATGCCCACCACCCAATAATTAATACTTCCAATAAGTTACAATGTATCACTGTTGTAATTGGTTCAGTAGATAAGACTTTTTATTTCATTTATGTCTCTCTACGACTTCAATGCCTTCACTCTAGACTCATAAAACTACGACTTGTCATTGCAAAGGCCAGTGGAGTTTGTTGTCGGTCCCTGTATGGAGCATTCCCAGCATGCTCAGGATCAGGTAATTAAACCTCAATCCCAACAAAAATTTAGTACCTTTGCTGCTGCTTGTTACTACCCAATTGGAGGCGTTGGATTGATTGACTTTTTTTTTTTTTCATAGAAATGATATGATCAAATTTATAGTATGTTTGAGCAACCCATCACTTATTGATATATCACTTTCAAAATATAATAATAATGTCTGCCTTATAGTTGTTGCCTTCACTTTCCTCATGAGTGGCAGGGCTGGGAATTTATGTGAGAAATGTTATATGCTCTTCATAAACATATGTAGATGGACCACTTGGTACCTATGACTATGTGTCACTTTGTGATTGCATCAACTTCTACTGTATTGGCTGTATATTTCTGTCCCCAACCCAATCTATATTCTGTTTCGTCTCTTTATCTTAGGCCTCTTAACCACACACTTTTGCAACATCATTCTCCCTTCAATAAAACACATTTAGTTCTCAAATTCCCACCCCTTTCTCAAACAATAGCACCACACTTACCGACTGCAATCCTGACATTTCTTGATTGAAGTGGCAATTGACATGTCAAATGAGGTAACATCTGTCATGTCAATTGTCACATTAATCGAGATATATCAGTCGAGATTACAGTTGGTAAGTGTAATGTTATTGTTACACTTAAACCCAATCCATGCTTCATATTTTTCATACTAAAACTTTCATAATATAAACAGCAATCAAATGATCTCTTGCTTCTAAGTGTCTCAATATTTTTTATTCACATAATCACAATTAATCTAAAACCACTAGCCTTTTTTTTTTTTTTTTTTTTTACAACGCTTGTTAATGTTTGAGTATTTCTTTTCTTGATATGAGTTAACTACTTTTTTCCATCCAAATAATGACATAATGATACTTTCTCATCCACAGACTTTTAAAATAACCACTTTTCCATTAAAAAAAAATACACTTTTTGATTCGGCTATGAACGGAGAGTAAACACAGTTTATGCTGTTGAAGATTTTGAATAAGGGAGGCCGATGAGTCTTTTGGTGGTGAAAGATTGGATTTTGGTGGTTATGATTGGTCGAAATTTTACTTTGGAAGAGCAGCTTCAAAAGCACTAATTGCTCGATTGCCAACAATTGGTAGGGTTGGCAAGAGTAAGATTTGAAGGGTTTTGGTGAGTGATGATTGAGAAATAGAATGGTGGTAGTGTGGAGTCGCAACGATGTCGAAATCAGCGAGAAAGTGTAATTAAAAGGTGTCATTTGGGTGGAAAATGGTATTTTAAAAGTCTGTGGTGGAAAAGTTTCATTAAGCCATTATTTGGGTGAAAAAAAAATCATTTACTCTCTTCATATTGACAACACATAAAATAAAACTTCATTAACCCAACTAATTGATATTATTGCATTACTTTCTCCCCACCTATTAACAAATTTGAATATAATATTAGAGCAACTGACATATTCCCACTCGAGGTTTAGCGAAATCTCAAGTTGATACCCCTAATTGCATTTATTCCAGATTCCCACCTTTAAAGTAACACTATTTTCTTTATTTGAATAGATTCCTGACTTTTCAGTATAGAGCGGCACACGTTGGCACACTAAAGCAGGCCAATGCTTTCTTTGGCCAAGAAAGGCTCACGTTAGCAAAAAGCGATTCAAGTTAGCAACGTCCAAGTCAGCGGTTTTTGGCTTTTTTCGACTGATTCTAAAGTCCAAAATAACTTCCGAGATCATCGTTGGACTCTTATAACCTCCTCTACAAAACTCATACCTTCACTTGCCAACCTCATTCACCATTTTCGACCACGTCACTAACGTTGTTAGTTTAAGAATGAGAATGTAGAATAAATGCAAATAAGGGTATCAACTTGGGATTACGCTTAACCTTAGGTGGGAATATGTCGTTTACTCTATAATAGACAATAATGTCAGCTTCCAATCTAATATATAGGCATTGGCTTCAAATTTAATACTAAAGATTGGGCAGGGGCCTTCTTGATCACACATAAACCTAGGGCTGCAAACGAACCAAGCTGTTTGCGAACAACTCGATGTTTGTTTGATAAAGCTCAATTTGACTTAATAACAAACTGTTCTCGAACAGTTTGTGTTGTTCGATAATGTGTTCGATTCTAGTTTGAACATGGGATGTTCGTTTGATTATATTCGCGAACATACTGTGTTCGAGTGATCCATCCGTTCGCGAAACACCCTGTTCGCTATCGTTTGTTATTTCGAAAACATGATATACATATATATAATTTATATGATGCTAAGTTTATCAAGGATTTTCTATGACTTAGTGTTAAAAATGCAATTCTTTGACTTTAAGGTCCTTAGTTTGAGTTGCATTAATATCGGATTTATATTTTTTCATTTTATATAATGTTTGGTATTTGGATGATTTTTTAACAGTAATCAATAATAAAATATTATGATGCTTTTATATATATATATGTTTGGATTTTTTTTCAAATATCATTAATATTAATATATAAGTATATATCATTTAATTAATAAATAATAAATTTGATACATAGCATGACAAATTTAATAACATAATAGAGTATAATCAAGTGATATAACATAAAAAATCTAATAATATAATAGCTTCATATTTTCCAAATGTAATCAATAATTAAATATTATAAGATAGCATTTCACTAATAAATAATAAATATAGTATGGTAAAATGAGATATAACATATGCATAATAAATGTTAAATAGCATAACAAATTTAATAACAAATGCTTAACTAAACCAAGATATATATATATAACATATTGATAATTAAATGTTAAATAGCATAACAAATTTAATAACATAAAGCTAACAAACCTAAGATATTATATATATATTATATATAATATATATATAATATATATAACAAATTAATCACACATTTGTGGTGATCATTTATTACAACCACTATGAATTATGGGTTTGATACAAAATATATATGTAAACATTTAAAATATTTATGATGATTTATGTAATGATAAATAATATATGAAACCTATAATTTTGACAATTTAATAAGATATTAAACATATTAATATATAATTAATATATGTATGATAATGATATAATAATATATAAAATAAAAACCCAATAACCAACAAACTAACCTGGCTAGCCAAAATTTGGTGTATATTTTTTATTCGAACAAGTATTTACAAGTTATTCGAACGATTAATCGAACGATCACGAACAACTCGTTTTGTTAATCGAACAGAACTTAAACGACCATTCTGTGTTGTTCGAGTTCGAACATGATTTCGAACAACCCTTTGTGCTTATCGAACGATTTTCAAATGGGGTGTTCATTGTGTTCGGGTCATTTGCAGCCCTACATTATCCTGGCCTAGGTAAGTATGTTTTCTCTTCTTTCCCTCCTTTAGTCCTTTTTATGTACTCTTTCTTATCCCTTCTTACCTTCTTAGAGATGGCAATGGGTCGGGTTGGGACCGAGTAGCCCTTAGCTCGAGCCCAAGCCCGATCCCATGACAAAGGCGAGCCTGTCACAAGGATGATGAATAAAGCCCAAGCCCAATCCAACAGCTTTTTGTAATCTCAATCCCAACCCAAACCTGCCTATTTTTGTATGTGAATTTTAAATATTAAAAATTCAATTAATAAATATATAATATATATATATATATATAATATAATAGTACACATGATAATTCTGTAATTAAGATATAGTATAAGAGTCATTTAGTAAAATTATAATAAAATGTCGGGTTGGGCCAAGGTCAGGCCTGAGACATACCCATGCTTGACCCGTACCCGAAGGTGGACCTTAAAATCAGTCTCATGCCCAAGCCAAGCCTGCTAACTCTGGTAAAGCCCGACCTTTTCGGGCCAGCCGGTACCCAAAAATACGGCCCATTGCCATCTTACCCCCTCTTCACATAATTTGGGATACACTTTTTGCTTCACGAAGCCCCAAACCAACACAAAATCAAAGAGACAGTCAACAATCATTGGATAGAACACGTCACTAACACAAGGATGCAATAGTTCCATAATGTTATATATATAGTACTAAATAATAGTAAAACATAGAACTAAAACATGGCTGATTACATTATCCACCTCTCATCAGAAGTAGAACAAATAATACAATTTGACAAGTAACATTTGATACTATGTAACTCCACACCTTAGAAAAAAAAAAAAAAAAAAAAAAAAAAAAAATCTACAGTGTATAACAAGTTCACAGTCGATATATTCCATGTAACTCAACGCCTTAGACAAAAAAAATGTATAGTGTATAACAAATTCACAGTTGATATTCATGCTTTCACTGATAAAATCTCCTTTAATGCATACCAAGTTCCTGAAGTTGCAAGAACAATTCCCAATATAACAATTCCTACATCCAAACACCACTCCTTCCACCCCATTTCTCCCTTGAATACCAGGAAGTGAAACAAAGCAGGCAAAACAAATGCTAATCCAACACACACACTGCTCCCAACCAAAGACATGAAATCTGCAAAATTTGGTACCAACAATGCCACCAAACACACCACCAAAACCCACACCCATCTCATCCAAAGGCAATATTCCCCGCCACAAAACCGCCTTTCGACAACCTCATAGACCGGATTCATGGACAGAGGAAATGTGAAGAACAGATTTATAGAAAGGCCTAATTTTACCAAAGCAGTGAGAAATCCAGGCCCCATATTAGCAGTTATAATGTCTTTGGTTTCATCACCAAAAGCGATATATCCTAATGCACCAAAACCTCCATACATCACCGCAATAAAAGCCATACTCAACCCTATGGTTCTCCCAAACTTGTCCTTATCTTCAGCCTCTGATTCTAAAGGCAAAATCAAACCAACCCCTTCGAAAGTATAAAGAACCACGCCTATACCATAAAAAAAGATAGACCAACCAGCAAAAGCCTGCACTTCAGGCCTACGTTTCTCAAAAACAATCACATCTTCCATCATTACAACACCTATTGCACCTAAATCAACAATGTCAGCAAAAATACTCAAAGGAGCCAAATGGGTTAATGATGCTATTGAATTTAGCCCCAATTGAAAAGGAAAACACATCCATATAAAAAACCCCTTCGCTGAAATCCCTAATATACTCTTTTGTTCAAAGAGATCAAATAAACTATTTGAAATAAATATCAAATACCCAACACAAAACCCAGCTTGAGAAAGAATAATCATAACATCAACAGCAAAACGGCCAATAGAACCACAGACAACGAACCCCAGATCACCAAAAGAATTAATCTTTGCGAACCCATTACCATAAGACTCAAGCTTACGACGGGTATAAACCAACAACATCATGCAGTGATAAGTCAAGGCGGCCACTCCAAAGATCATGAGCAGATTCATGAGCCATCCGGTGCGTTTAAACGCGTAAGGCAAGCCCAAAACGCCTGCACCAACAATGGCAATGAAGACATTAGCGAATGTTTTTGGTTGTGATGATAAAGGGACGGTTTTGGCGCCAATGAGTGGGGTGTCTTCTTTCGGTAAGGGAGTGCGTTCTTGCTTTTTCGCCATTAAGGTTGTTTAGTTTTGAAGATCTGGATTCAGAGGATGGGAGTTTTGATATGGGAAGGAGAGAAGGCGAGAGATTTGAAGCTATTTTGGGGAAATGAGAAGAGGTTACCTCATACGTGAATGCTCGTTAAGAGAATTTATAGGTTTAATGTGTTGAATGAAGTGTTTGAATTTACATAACTTTTTCATCTACAGACGTAAACAAAAAATAAACTCTGGATAATTTATTATTTGATACATGACCATTGACCCCCGCCGCGAGGGGAGGGTGGCGCTTCCATTGGTGAATTGCACGTGGATTTCATAGATATATATATATATATTGACTAAATTGTCAAACTAGTCATCTCAATTAATTTTTTGGCATCTTAAAATGATCAATAGGATAAATCTGATAAGTAGAGACCCTATTAGTGCTTCCACTTAAACTTAAGAATCTATGTTGAATCCTTTTACCAGCAAGTTATTCAATGGTAGTTTAGATCATATATTCTAGA